ACTTTGTAGTAACTTCTCATCAAACTTGCAAGAAAATCTGAGAAAACAAAATAAAACAACCTGCACAAATCTTAATGTGATTAACAAATCCAGCTAATGTGTCCCATCTGGCCATTATGATTCTGTGCTCTTCTTCTCCCAATTCAGGGCAATACACCATAGTGACATTTTTTAAGTCCTTCAGATTCTTTTCTATCTCTGGATATTTTCTTCTGCCCTTAGTCATCTGCTTGAAATGCTCTTCTCTCTGCTCTTCATCCTGAAAATTCCTATTCACCTGCCACTCTCAATTTAAATATCCTGTCTTCAAGGAGATGACCTTCCCTAATCCTCAATCTAAATTAAATTCCACTGGTATACCTTCAGAGCATTTATCTGTTTCTTTGGTGCACTTATTGTGATTTGTAATCCCACTTTTATATAATGTTTATTTTATGTTGTCTCCTTATATACTATAAGCCTTATAAATGGTTCAGTCTTGATGGGTTTTCTTTCTTTTTTAAATCAATGTATTGGCAGAACATATCTCAGTACCTAATCGATGTTAAAGTTTTGGTAAATGCCTATTGTGTAAAAAGCTTTGCTTTCAGTTCTTATTGTATCTTACTCCTCTTAATTCCCACCTTCCTTTTTTATTTTCCTGTCTTTCTTCTTTCCCTTCTGCCTTCCTCCCTTTTCCTTTCTGGGTTTCTTCCTCATGAACATGGACTTGACAAGTAAACCTCAAAATTCCCTCTACTTATTTAAAATGCAGTACTTTATCAGATGAGGAAAGCCATTTAAGCCTGGTATGGTGGCATATACCTATAATCCCAGAAGCTCAGGAGGCTGAGGCAAGAGGATCAGGAATTCAGAGCCAGCCTTAGCAATTGCAAGGAGCTTGGTAACTCAATGAGACCCTGTTTCTTAAAAAAACAAACAAACAAAAAAAAAAACCCCACAAAATAGGACTGGGAATATTGCTCAGTGGTTGAGTTCAATCCCCAGTATAAAAAAAAAAAAGAAAACCAATTCAATTAATTCATATGGAGGAATATATGTTCAATACCAGATTAATATTTTCCTTCATTTGACTACCCACCTTTTTTTCTTTTTAAATTTGCCTTGAGCTATATAAATGTAAATGATTTGGAAGAGAGATTCTTCTTTAATGACCAAGAGATATAATTCTGTTTTAAAATATTCAGGGCTAACTATACTGATTCATTCATTCATTCATTTATTTGATCCATTATTTATTGAGATCCTACTGTGTATTATGTACTTTTATAATTTAAATCCTTGTTCTCCCCCCCCCACTTACTTGCTGGGTTATCTTAACAAATTCATACCTCAATTCCCTTATCTCCTACAATCCTACAATGAATAAAAATAGTGACTAACAGATATTATGAGAAGTAAATGCATTATTCTGTGACAAGTGAATAGCATATAACACGCTCCATCTAGGTGTTAGTTAGTGGCATGTTTAACATTACCATGGCTTAATCATCATCTTCTCAGGCATTGGGTTATGCAGTGTTGTACAAATAAGGTTGATGACTCACATGGCTTATTCTCTACTCCAGGGCAAACTGTGGCTTCTTGGCCAAATATGGCCTGTTGTCCACTTTTGGAATTAAAATTTACCTTTACACAGCTGGCCCGTTGCCTTGCATTTCATCTCCAACTGCTTTTGTGCTGAAAAGTCATAACTGAGTGGTTACTACAGAGGCTGTATGCCCTCCCAAGTGAAAAATGCTATTCTCTTCTTTTCAGAAAATGTTGGCTCGTTCCAACTATCATGCAGGTGGAAACACTTTCTATAGGAGTAAGCCCAGGCTGTAGAAATATCTCTGTAGTCAGGGAAATCTGGATTGATAATTTGTCAGTTATTTTCCCTAAACATCAGTTTTCTGGATTCAAAAACTAGTTCCACATCCCAGTGTGTTCTAATAGGGTTAAATAATAAAATATATATAAAGTGCCTGAAATTCTTAGTGCACAATTTTTTTCCTGTCCCTTTTGGAGAATAAAGGGATTATTTTATATTGATATTATAAGCATTAATATTTATTACAACTGTACAGAGACATGAAACCAGTTTAGATCAGAAGTCAGTGCAATCATGGTCTATAATGAAATAAGATTCTGTAGAAGAGAAGTACAGTTTGATTGCAGTAAATGCAAAGAGAGGATACAAGCTTAGCTTCCCCACTTTTTATCATAGTGTTATTTGTATTTCACCATCTTAGTCTTGGTTTAACTTGTCATAGTTAAGCTATAGGTTTAAACCCTTTGCATGCTAATGATTTTCCACTTCTAATTAAGTTTCCAAGGTGCTTCTAATACAAAAATCAAGCAACACTATTGTGCAAATTAAATTACTTAGAAAGGCGAGCAATCTCGCTTTAGAAGAGGAAAATATTTTGTTGTGTTTTTATAAGGTGCCTCCTTAATAATAGCTTAAAACAATAAATCTATGAAGATTTGTTTTTTTCACAGTAGTTAACCAGTCAGTAATGTTGCCTACAAGATTCCAATTTTTAAAAAATGACCTTTTAAAGATGCCATATAAAATTAAATTTTAATGAGTGATAATAAATGGTGATACTTTTCACAGGAGGGAACACAAAGCTTGCCTGGAGCCCTTGCTTCATGCCATCCACTCTAACGTGCTATTATTGTGTCTTCCCTTTCATTATTTTCAAGGGAAGATGGTGGGAACACAGCAACTTTGAAGAACCCAAAACAGTTTTCGTATTGCGCTTACTAAAGGCGATCTTCCTCACTGGATAATTAGGCAGATGGACCTCCATTGCTTTAGTGATGATTCTTTTGTAGAATGCTGCTTTGTCTCTCCACAATGACAGCTTAAGATATTAAGCACTCCTTTGATTATGTGGCTGATTGAAAAAATAAATCTTCATGATTAGGCTCAAAAAAAGTTGTTGCACCAGATGGGCACTCTACAGCAGTTCTGTAGCAAGCCTAGAAAGGTCTCCACACTGGTCAGTTTTCGGGTGGAAAACATTTGGCAACCAGTCACACTGAGCCTAGAAAAAAAAGGCACAAGGAGGAAGGAGAGAGGAATTGCATTGTATCATGTCACCTGCGGACAGACTGATGGCTTCCTCAGTGGTCACTGGAGCTACCCAGCAGATCTTTTATTAACCTTTGGGTCGCTTGGGTTCACAATTTATCAGAAATGCACAATAATCCCAGTTAAGGATAATTATTAATTTGTTATTTTTAGTTGAAATTTAGTATATTTTGACATTTTCTATTTTGTTAGGATGATTCCTTCCCCACCCATTTTATCCTGAGCATCCTCTGAGCAGAGCTGAGCAATTCAGCTTCATTGGAAACAACCTATACATCTGTTTATGAAATATATAAGTACTGAAAGACTGGGAGTTTTAGAAATCCGTTTGAATGTCATCACTTGATATTTTTGTCCCGGGTGCATAGGGCCTCTCGTGTCAACATAAGACAACACCTGCTAAAGATTGAGAGTTAGGTCCCTTTTGAAGATAGCTGGCCAGGGGGTGGGGTTGTGGCTCAGTGGTAGAATACTTGCTTAGCATGTGCTAGGCCCTGGGTTGGGTCCTCAGCAGCACATAAAAATGAACAAATAAAATAAAAAAGCTATTGTGTCCAATTACAACTAAAAAATAAATATTAAAAAAAAAGATAGCTGGCCAGGATGGTAAGGAATGTAAAAATGGAAGCACATTCCCTTGAGGGCTGGAGGGCATGCCTGGTTTCCAGAAGCTGTTTCCAAGACAGTCAACTTGGGTCACACTGGGTGAGAGGGTGACGAAGCTCCTCACCCTCCATTTCAAAATAATTAGAAAACTGAATTTCGCAAGAAACGGGAGGTGAATTCTCACTTTCCTCACCAAGGGTCTGGGGATGAAATGACACCTTTAATTACGAAGGATTGTTGGTACCACACTGGTAACAAGCTGCTATAAATGAAAAGTCTAATTGCCTCAGGATCCAGTATTTCATATAAATGTGTTTTTGTCGTGAGCACATTTGTGGATACAGCATACATCATTTTCCCTGTCAGCTCAGATAGAAGGAAGTGGATGTGACCACTTGTTTTACTGCTGTTTTATTGTCTGTTTTGCTCCATGTCTGAAGAGTTAGGTGTCTTTGCCAGCATTAACCTGCTATTCTAATAGCAGCGGGAACCCCACGAGGGTGCTCAGCTCTGACTTAAATAAAATTGCAATTAGAAAAATGGTGAGCCTCCAGTTGTTAACAAGCTGCAATCTTTACTTATTTTTCAGAGTTCTATGAAACTGCATTAGATATCAAACAATTTTTCTGATTTATAAATTTTGAAAAGTATGTCAGACAAATAGAATACATTTCTCAGACACACATGCACAGATTCTTAAAATTAACTCTCTGTGATCTGAGAACTCTCGGAACTCTTTCTCCTGTACATCCCTCTCCTTCCCTTTATTTAGCAAGATGAGAATGCATGCTCCATGTTTGAAATCCCCAGTATCCATTTTGTGTAGTACATATTGAATTTGGCTGCCTGATTGTTTCTTCTAAATTAAGGTAGACACATTTAGAGATGAGACAATTAAGGAAAAAAGAGTAAATGGAGGAGGGGAGGATTGACCTAAGAAAAATCATAGGAAAGAGAAAATTGATTCGCCTGTTCTCCTTCCCAGTGTAGTCAAAGAATTTTTTAAATTCCAAAATGAAATATAGATCCAAATACTACATTTAACTCGAAATCTAAAGACAGATGGGTTCTGAAGAAAAAGGGAGCAATCTAGGTTTCCTGAACAGATGTGTCCTGGTCTACTTTGGTCTACAACTGGTAAAGTGGATGGTTAATGATGGCAAACATTAGAACAATTTTCAACAACTTGTCAGAGATTAAGAGAAAAAAAAAAGCAAAGCTGCCATTGAGCAGCTAATTTGTATCATATTCTGGATTAAATTACATAACTGGATTAAATTATATAACTACTTTTTGCCTTTTCTCTCTTTAGAAATGATGAGTGAATGAAAACAGGAGGTACCAGTAAGGAGGACAGGGTGAGTCATATCAAATTCATCTCTTACTTTTGAAGTGTTTAGAATATATTGTATGAAACCTATTCGAAAATTGTTGGGGGCTTGTGTCTCAGATAAATCAGAAACATTGCATCTTTCAGGGGGAAATGGAATGTTTGCTGTAGCTGGATTGCACAGAAATAAACCACTTGTCTCTGACATTTTGAAACTCCTGTTTTCTGCATGCCAACCACCACACTGTCCTATGTTGTTGAAGTGGATCATGGCCAAAGTGGCCAGAGAGAGATGCTTGGGGTGAATTCCTGTTTCATAATTGCGACTCTCTCTTCTCTATGTACTTGTTATTATTTTAAATCCATTGTGGCAAAGGTTTTACTTAAAATTACAGGGCAGTAGCTGCTAGGCATCTGAATGTGACCCATATTTAAGTTGAAGAGGGAAAGATCCTACTTTGTAGTTAATACAATGTGTGTCTCTAGTTTTAGCATTGCTTAGTTACTGCTTTTTCTATGAAGTTTAAATGTATTTGAATTTGGGAAACAATGAAATATTTGTGCACTAGCCAATCATGTGAAACAAGAAGGCATGGTATTCTGAAAGATGATTTTGCACTTCCACAGTGCACCTCGATTCTGAGTGTGTGTAAGATTTTCACACTCACCATCTGCAAATAGCATTAGGACAAAGAGTTTCGGGAAGTTTCCTAAAGTTACTCTGATTATAAAAAAACCAACAGAGTCAAAATGTCTAACATTTTTATGAGTATTACAAATAACAAAGAACTCCTTTAAAAGGAAAGGGGGAGAAAAGAGAAAAAAAGAAAAGAGGGGGAAAAGAAGGACAAAAGAATTAAAGGAAGCTGAGAAGAGAAGGAGGAGGGGAATGAAAGAAAGCAGGTTTCTGTAGTAAGCTCATTTTTTTTCCTGCTTGGGTAGAATTTACATTTGTGCAGTATGTAAGTCTTTTCAGGACGCTCTCACAAAATATTAGAAACTGGGTGGTGTGGAAGCAAGAGAAAAGTGTTCCTCACAGTTCTGGGGGCTGCCAAGTTCAATCCAAGGTGCTGGCAGATTCTGTGTCTGTGAAATTCTTTCCTCTTCACAGAGGGTGCTCCTGTTCGCTGTGTCTTTGCATGGGCCTGATGGGACAAGGAAGGACCTTGTTTATAAGGGTACTAATCCCTTTCCTGAGGGCTCTGTCCTCATAACCAAATTAAACATGCCCCATCCCCACTCAGGGGCCAAGCTCTGCCTCCAGGACCATCATCACCTTGGGGATTTGGTTTCAACAAATAAATCGGAGGAAGGGGGATATAAACCTCAGCTGCAGCAGAAAGTTTAAATTCCAGTGAAGTTCAAAACAGTGTTAAATATTTGTTTTTCATAGTTTATGCCTTATTGAATCTTGCCAGTTCATTACTTATGTGAGCCCTAAAGATTTTGGACAAGAGCAATTATACAAATATAAAATTCTGAACCAAACTATGGAAACTTTTTCAACTTCAAAAAATTTAGTTACACAAGAACTTTTGGGCTTTTCTTTAAAAATCCGAAGAAAGAGAGAATAAGGGTGGCACTATGGTAGTATTTGTTACGTCTTGCTGGTGGGTAGAGGGTATCTGGTATAGCAATATTTCTGTTTTTCTGTATTTTGGGAACATTTCTTAATTAAAAAATAATGTTTCAGAGTGTTTTTCTAAGGACCTCTACATATTTACAAAAGTGGGTCTGAACTTTATGCTCTTTCGTGTCACCAGCTGATTGAGAATGAGTGAAATTAATCATGCTCTGTCTACTCCATTATCTTCATTATAATGAAGATTGTTAATAGATATGAAAATGGCAGGAGAATATCATGGTCAGTCACCCTGTAATACTAACAAATAGAGAAATTCATCTGTGCTATACCTTCTCCAATTTCTTCTCTCTGTCCTTCAGAGTACTGCATGCTTTAGATGTTCGGGTGAGCAATCAGGGGAGATGGAGATCTCTCTTTCCAGAGCTCTTTAATAAAAAGTTGTTACCATGCAGTGGAGGTTAACTATGAGAAGGTATATTTGGAATATTAGAAAGTAGTTCATGGGAACCTACCCTAGAAGATGACTGCTTGGTGTCTTTGAGGAGAAAAGAGCACTATTTATAATGCACAGAATGTGGTTTCTGAGATTGTCAAGTTTTGCCATATATGTCCTGAAATAGGGATCTGATAAATGGATCTCACTGTTGGATTGTTGGATGAGACCACACCTGCAGAGGGGGGAATCCGAAATATTTCAGATTTGTATTAAGAAAAAGAACTGACTTAAATACCATTTTCACTAGTTTTATAAAACAATAAAACTTTAACTGTGGCTCAGGATGCTGACGCAGGAGTATAGCAAGTTCAAAGCCAGGTTCTGAGAAACCTGTCTCAAAAATAAAATAAAATAAATAAAAAAGGCCTGGGACATGGCTCAGTGGTTCATAATTCCTGGGTTAAATCCACAGAGCCAAAAACAATTTTAAGACAAGGAAGAAAAGGAAAGGGGAAGGGAGGGCTGGGAAGGGAAGGGAAACCTTCAACTAATATGTATGGCAGGTTTCCTGAACTGGTAGGCCCCATATCAATCTGGTCCATCGACCTTTTTATATTGGAGAGATTTTTTTAAAAAATAAATCCTAGAGTTGGAGCTTTTCTTGGAATAAATAGTAATTCTAACAACATTAAACACACCTTTTCTAATGGTTCCAATACCATGAAACTAAGGAGCAGCAGACGTCTTTGGAAATGGTAGGAGTCCTCAGGTTCTCCAGTGCCCATCATCTTTAATATCTTCTTCTTACCTCCTTCACTCATCTACATAAACTCCTGGGGCAGTGAGTTGTACACATCATACAGATGCCAGATGGGACTCTTTCAGATACCAGCTGTCCCCTACATTCCAGAAAACATTGATATGATCCAATCACAATTCCCTAATCTGTGAAATACCAGTTTTCAATGAGATTTCTGAAAATCCCTGATGCAATCTAGGTTTTTACGATGGTGTTTTCATGAAGTATCTGATTTTTACCATGGCGATACAGACATGAAACTTGTCTCCTTTATGAACATTCACAAATCAGCTCACATCATCAGAAAAGCCATGGTAGCATATTAGGCACTTCATCTCAAAAAGTGTTGCTTGTTCTTAGACTTCAGAGTATTCCCAAAACTTTATTGCTATCATCAGGAGATTCTCCCTTGTTTCCCCAACCACATAAGTTGTACCTATCCTCTATTTCTCTCTGAGACTCCCATTTTCCCCTTTTTTCCCATGCAAAAGAAAACAGACACATGCTTTTTCTTTAGACCCTTTTTGCCCAGGTAAATATGTCTTGCCTTTCCTTGCCATCAGCCCTGGAGAGTCTCATCTCTTTCCAACCAATGTTATTCTGCTGAATTTGTTGTTGTTATTGCCCTCTAACTCCATTAGTTCATTATATAATTACTGCTGGAAGCAGTTTTTAAGAGGATATGTCTATTTTTTTTTCTCCTTATCACATCTATAACAAAGTCCACAGCTTGGCTTTTCTAAGTTACCAGTTACACATGTACAGTTTGTGAGTGGCCAGCATCACAGGTGATGAGATTTGCAGAAAGGTTTGAATCTCCACTGTTTTTAATCCGCATTTTCATCACTGTGACCCAGAGACCTGACAAGAGCCATTAAAGTTTATTTGGCACTCATGGTTTCAAAGGTCTCAGTCCATAGATGGCCAACTTCATTGCCCTGGGCCCTAAGGTGAGGCAGAACATCCTGGCAGAAGGATGTGGAGGAGAAAAGCATGGCAAACAGGAAGGAGAGGGAGAGCTTGGTTCATCAGGGACAAAATATAAACATCAAAAGCATACTCTCAGTGACTTACCTCCTACAGCCTCACCCTACCTACCTCAGGTTACTACCCACTTAATTGCTATCAGGGAATTAATTCACTAACTAGGTTCTGACTCTCACTATCCAATCATTTCCAGTCAGAACCTTTTGGCATGGTCTCCCAAATGAGTGTTGGGGGGATGCCTCACATCTAACCATGGCACTTGCTGAAGGGTCCTGCAGAGGGAGGAGCTGAGTTCGTGCTGTAAAGCAAACCCAGCATGCAACAGGTCATGACCACATGCCGGAAGCCACCAGTGGCTCTTCTCTGCCTGTGGTGTCTGTGGAGAGGAAAATCACAGGACATCTAAGGAAGATGTAAATCTTAAGAGAATATTATACAAGAGAAATTTTTTTGAAGCCTCAGGAGTTACAGAAATGGATGCTAGACCTAAATATTTTAGCTTGTGACATTTTAAAGATAGAGTTTCTTATTCTGTCTTTGAAGTAATGATTGAAGTTCTTAATCTCTTATGTCTAAAACTGTCCAGTTTTTCCAAGAGTAGAAGCAGACTCTGTATAGGAAGATATTTGTGCATAGCCAAGGCATTTTATATTGGTGAATTTTGGCAGAATCTTTTGTCTGATCTAGCTAAAAGCATGTGGGCTCTGTCTTTTTCAAACCTCACATGATGGGAGGCTTGCCCATTTAGATCCACTTCAATCTCTGCAGTATTCAGCTAGGAGCTAAGATAATGAAATATGTTCCATTTGCATCTCCCTATACAACAAAACAATCCAGCCAGATTGTAAATTAAGTAATATATTATAAATTATGTAGCATGGAATGCCAAAATGAGACATAGCCACCACAAGCAATTAACCTGGTATAAACAGTAACTGTGTCTACAATCTTAATTCAGAAACTTTTGGGGACAGAGTGGGGAGAAAGATATATATATAAAGATTTTATATATTAAAATATATATATTTTAAAATTCATTTTTAGTTGTAAGTGGACATAATACCTTTATTTATTTTTTTGATGTGACGCTGAGGATGGAACCCAGTGCCTCACACATGCTAGGTGAGCACTCTACCACTGAGCTACGACCCCAGCCCAAGAGAAAGAGATTTCTAAGGGACATTTTAATGTTAGAAATTAGTGTGAAAAACCTGTAAATTG